TGGGCTGGCAGTGTGGACAGGCATCCCTCTGCATGGCTGTGCAGAACCCCTTTCTGTGGTCATTGCCCCACTCCCACTGGGGCCATTGCAGCCTCTGCCACACATCCCCACCACTGGCTCGCTCCCTTTCTTCATCCCAGCACTCCCCAGCCTGTGCTATGGGCAGGCACATCCCTCTGTGTTGCACACAAGCTCTCCCTAGCCTCTGGGGACCTTGGCTCCTGGCAGTCCTGGCTCTGCCCTGGGTTCAGTCCCTCCCTCCCGAAGGATGGTGGCCAGAGCAGAGGGGCTCTTTGAGACACCACTTGCTCTGGCTTTGTTCAGTGTGTGGGGAGAACTGGTCCTAGCCAAGCTGACCCCTGGAGGTCTGTCCCCTCTCTGGAGTCCTGCAGCAGTGAGTCCCCACTCTGCCTTGCTGCTACCGAGTGCAAGAGGTCCCTGTCATGCTGGGCAGGGAGGAAGTGGTGTCCCTAGGGCTGTTTATAGCAGTGATGGTGTTGGCTGCACTCTGCTGATGGTGCTCTCTGTGGCACGTTCCCAAAACAGAGGTGGAAATTGAGCTGCCTTTGGGAAGCCACCTGGCTCATCCACAGGGTCTGTGCCGGGGCAGGAGGAGAGTTGCAGGGTGTGGGGAGCAGGCAGCTGCACCCACAGGTCCCTGAGCAGAGAGGGGCTGACTGCGCTTCTGTTTGGCAGCACTGACCCACGAAAGGAAGTCTGGCCCCGAAGGCTTCTGTAGCAACCCCAGGGACTGCTGCTGCCTGTGAGAGCACCAGGGAGGCAGAAAATCTCCCCTGGTTCAGGGACTGAGGCTCAGGAAGGGTATGGGCATCTGCTGGTGGGAACTTGTGTACCAGAGTGTGTTCAGGCCTGAGCAAGACTTCTCTTTAAAGTACCTTATACCATTAACAGAGCAATGCTGGTAGGTAAATGCTTTGCTTACTCTTGGTAGTCGAGCTGTTGCTTCTGGGCTTTCTCCTGTGGAAAGCCCTGTTTTTCCTCTTGTATCTCTTACTTCCAAATCACTCCCTTCTGTCTGATTACCTTACCCAAGGTGCCCATAGTAGTTTTCCCCTGCTGAACTGTCACTCATCTGCTCACCCTAGTCCCTTCTCAGTATTATTTCCTAGACTATCTGGTGCCAGTGGTTGATGCTGCTGGCATTGCTCGGGTAAGGCAGCAGGTCTCCAGCAGGACCTGCAGCTCTGCCTCTGGGGCACTTGCAGTGATGTCCCCTGAGGTGTGCATCCCTGCCCAGCCGCTGGTCACAGCGGGCCCCCAGGGTGGCCCTTGCTGCGGGACTGGAAGGAACAGGATGTTCACTGCAGTCTCTTGCAGGATGTGCAGGATCAGTGCCACAGCCACATGCTCTTCAGCAGGAAACGCAGCGTGCACGATGCACTGGGCTGGCAGGTGCTGATCAGGATGTGACCCTTCCGCTTCCCCCCCAGGTGATGTTCTCCTTCGAAGCTGGCAGGCGCTGTGACTCAGGACCTGGAAATTTCACCTTTGAGACCACGCAGGGCAATGAGATCTTCCGCCTTGTGGAAGCCTCCATCCAGGAGCAGAAAGCACAAGTGGAGGAGAACCGGCAAAGCTGTGACTCTCTGGATGCAGACAGCCCCAGCGTGGTGCAGATCCGCCAGGCCCTGGCTGATTCCCTGAGCCTGGAGCTGCCCGCCGAGGGGAGCGATACCCCGGCACCCAAAGCGGGGATGGCGCCCAGGGCCAGTGCAGTGGCAGAGGAGAGAGACGCCACGTCTCTGCTGAAGACCCGGATTCTGCCAGAGCTGCCTGTGCCACAGAGCAAGCCCCCAGCCCCCAGCACACCCCCGCGCTCCCCTCTGCCAAAGGTGCTCCGTGCCGTGCTGCCAGCCGAAGACCCGTCCAGCGTGTACTCGGAGCCCCTGGACTCAGTGAAGGGCCTCCGGCCCTGGCCGGACCCGCTGTACTCGGACCCTGTGGACAGCAAGCCCACGAGCGGGGCCAGGGCACCCAGTGGGGCCTCGGATGAGACGAAGCTTCGGCTGCTGGTGCCGCTGTACTCGGGCGCCTACAAGCAGGCCCGTGCTGAGGGTCGCAGCCAGGCACCGCCAGCACCCGGGCAGAAGGAGCACATCTACGACGAGCCCGAGGGTCGTGCTCCCCGCTCGCTGCCCCCCCCCGCCTGCATCTATGACGAGGCGCGGCCCACGGGCGAGGCCTGGCGCACCCAGGGCCACGACGGCAAAGGCGGCTACGAGTACCCCTACAACCCCAGCACTGATGACTACTCGGTACCTGCCTTCCAGGCCAAGGCCAAGGGCCCCAGGCCAGTCCCTGCCCCCAAGCCCCAGGCACCCTTTATCTCCAAAGGTGTGGAGAGGATCGAGGACCCCGGGAGGTGGTGGGGAAGCGCTGCTGCTGAGAAGGAGGTCACCAAACCTAGCCTCAACAGCAGCAACAACAACAATGTGGAGGTGCTGTACAGCCAGGTGGTGAAGCCCCAGCACCTGCAGAAGAAGGAGCAGTCTGTGGATGAGTGCAGCTTGTCGCCTGTCTATGAGGACTTAGGAGAGATATAGGGTGCTGCTGCTCTGTATCTGCCTGGATGAGACTTGGTGTCCCAGTGCCAGCTGTGCTCCTCCATGGGTCTGGGGTGGGGCTTAGGGGTGGGGACTGTTTGGGCTCAGGCAGAGCCCCTCTTGCTCACCAGCGCTGAGAGGCTGCCTTTCCCTGGAGTGAAACAGCAAGAGAGCTGTGGCTGGCACAGGTGCCAGGGTGCTTCTCCTGCTCTGGAGCTGGCTCTGCTGCTGCCTCCTGATCGCAGGAAGCCTGACTGTGTTGTCCTGTAGCTGTTGCTCTGGCTCTGCTCTGGCTTCCCCTCTGACCAGGCTGCAGGGCTCAGATGCCCATTGTGGTGCGTGGAAGACTGCTTGCCATCAGTCTTCGAAAGTATTTTTATACAAAATTATTTTAATATTAAAGTCTGTATGTCTCAGAATGACACGTTTGCCTGTCTGAGCTGTCAGGATGGATGGGGAGATGCTGGTCCTGCTGCGGAGCAGCTGAGCACTGTTCATATGGTCACACATTGGTGTCTGTGCCAGAGTTACTGAGCTAAGGGGGAACAACAATGAAAAGTGCATGCCAGATTCAGCTGTGGCTGGGATGCCCTGATGCCAGGGGATTAAGGGATGTGAGAGTCAGGCTCACAGATATCTTTATGTGCTGATCAGGGTATGGATGTGATGGCCTCCATGCATAAGGCTGGGCAGGGACAGGCTCCAGCTCTGCTGCAGCTCAGTGGCTGTTGATTAGTCACAGGATCTCTTCTTCCCCTAGCTTGATCCCACTGCTGATCTCCCACTGCTCCTGAAAGGCCTGGGATAGCCCAGTCTGGATCCCATTGACTTAAATGGCAAAATCTGCGATCCCTGCTCTGGTCTGAGGCTGATTGCAGTGTGGCCAGCCTTGGGCAGAAACCTATGCAGAGGAAAAACAGGTTGTCCTTTTGGTACTGGTAATGGTTTTGAGAGATTTCATGTCCTTCTGTGTAGGGTCAGATGAGGCACCCTGGTACTGGCTGCACCCATGTCTGGATGGGGCTGCTGGTGACTTGTGCAGGTTTAGCAGCCTGTCGATACTGACGGCAGCATGGCAGGCAGGCAGGCGACAGCACTGTGCTGGACCTGTGCAGAGGGCTAAGCACGACTTCTGCAGCCCTGCCTCAGACCCAGGGAGCCAGAAAGTGCTGGGGAAGTCTGGAGGATCAGGTTCAGGGCCTCAGGCTGGTGAGATGGTGACAAGGTGGTAAGCTCTGACTGGCCATTTGTCTAATGCCCAAGTTGCAGGGGGAACCCTCAGCCCTGTCACAATACAGCTCAGCTGTAGCCAGGACCAATTTGTGGCTGTTCTGGGCTGGGTTGTCTTCTCCATTGGGGTTTTGCTGCATGAAACGGGAAAGAAGTCTAAGGGGTTTTGGGAATCTGAGGGAGGCTGAGGCAGTTCCTGCTGGGATGAGGGGCAGGAGAAGATGGTGTTAGCTGCTGGGTGGTCCCTTGCTTGTGTTCCTGTCCATGGTGGTTCCATGTCCATATCCCAAGAGCAGTTCTGCTCCAGAGATGAGCTCTGGGCATTGCTTAGGTGGCCCAGGCCACCTGCTCATAATCCTTGCTCATGACTCCAGTGAGAGGCTCCATAACTTAAACAATGAAGAGCAGCCTCCCTGGGGTTCTCCCTTCATATACAGCCTTGGGTATTCGTTCATCTCCATCCCTGTGGGCACCTCCGTGTGCTGTGTCCGTGCCTTCCCGTGGAGCTGAGCATGGCGAATGTGCTGGGCTGACCCAGCTGGCACCTAAAAGGTGACAGCGAGGAAGGAAGATGCTCCAGCATCTGTGCTAGCCCAGTGGTCCCTGCACAGCCCTGCTCTCCTCTTGGCTGCAAGGAAAGCATATTTATTTTTCTTGCTATAGCAACAGCATCTTCTCTCCTAACAGGCAACTCGGGACTTCCAAAGACTTTCCATCTCCTACCTGCCGCCCTCCCTCCCCCACCTGGTTTTGTCATTCTCATGTTGTTGCCTGGCTTGCACACCCCAGGCTCGGCCATTTGTATGTTTATCACTGCCCTTTGCTCCTGTCCCTTCCCCAGCAGTGTTCCAGACAGGCAGAGCTGGCCACCAGCCTGCACCCAATGAGTCCATATCCCTGTGCCTGCAGGGGTGTCTACCTTGTTTTCCAGAGTATCTGCCCTTGATATTTTGCTGCAAGCAGCTGCCTGAGATGCCAGGGCATGGGAAGAGCAGGCCCGTGCCCTTGGATGGCTATCAGGGCCTGTCAATGAGCTGAGAGCCCAGGGAGAAGAGAGGGCTCTGACAGCTCTGTACTCCTGCTGAACAGCCCCCGGGGAGGATTGTGCCTGTGTTGTGCCCTTGCTCAACTGCAGCTGTTTCTCAGGAAGCACAGGTCAGTGCTGGGATAGCAATGCTGTACACATTATAAACCATAGGCAGAAAGTGAACATTATGGTGGATAACTTTATTTTGAAACAGCTTGTCAGAACAAAGTAAGTAGAACACAAACCGTGCTGGTGCTTGGCATTGGGGGCTGGTAGAGACCACCCCACCTTGGCTTGGTTGAACTGCCCTCAGCTTCTGCCCTGCCAGGGGCAGCTGCCCTACACCTGCACTGAAAACCAGGCTGACGTGTGCCAGCACTGGGCAGAAACTCTCTTGAAAAGCTCTAGGCCAGTGTGGTGCTGCATTTTTCCCCTGCCATGTCATACTATGATCTGAGAATCTTCTGAACCCTGCCAAAAAGTATTGCTGTGTTGGCTCGTGGACCAGCCCCATAGGCACAGGTGGTCCAGGAGGAGGAGATGGGGCTGGGGCTGTGCTGCAGTTCCAACTGCATGAGATGTCACTGTGCAGGAGCCAGCCCTGGCTTGGCACTTGCTACAAACCCCTTCACTGGCTGGGGTGTTGGACAGCGAGGCCAGCCTCGGAAGCAAGCAAATCATCATCATCATGGGTACTGCTGTGCCTGGGAGGGCAGAATTCCAGGCTTTAAGGAATTCCAGGCACCCCACTGAACCTGCTGCTGCAGGATGAAGGCAGCTCGGTGTCACTGCCTGCCTTGTCTGTCTGATTTCCTCACCACCCTGCTTGCAGCTCCTCCGCACCCGCTGGCAGCAATCTGTGGTTTGTGGCCTGTGTTAGCCCGGTCTCAGAAACCAAAATTTGAGGCATGCTTGTGATGTGTGCAGACAAGAACAGGAAATACGTGGTGTTGTGGGGGATAGCTGGATCTCTGGACAGAGGGTCCCAGAGCAGAAACTTCCTGTAGACTGACTCGGTGACGAACAAAACTGTAAAACAACAAGGAGGAACAAACGATGGGAAGTGCCTGTCTGCCCAAGGCTGAGCTCAGTGTCTTGCCTGACCGCTTCCGGCCCGGTGCAGCTGAGCAAGAAGCTGAGCTGTGACTGCACATGGGCAGCCCCAGCAGAGCCTGGGCTTCACTGCAGGAACTCATCGTACTCCCTGGGGAGGGGAGAGCGCTCGCAGGAGTCTCTCCTCGCTGCTGCTGGTCTAAATGTTTGGAGGGGAGAGGGAGCCATCAGAAGGGGTGCCACTGCAGCTTTGGCTCTGCTCTGGGGCTGCAAGACAGGACAAAACATAAGTGCATCTTGTGGAAGGAGGCGCTGGCTTGTCCCACTGTGGTTGTGTCTGAATGTGCCCAGCGTCCCTCTCAGCTGCACGAGCTGACCCTGCACCCATCCCTGCCGGGTACCAGGGAGCTGCCCTCAGCCCTTCTGTAGGAATTTGACCAGATGGGCAGAACACACACTCCAGGCTGGTCACAGGCAAGGGACTTACCTGCTTGGGCTGATGCCGCTCCGGGCGCTGCTCCCGGGGCTGGGCCTGCTGCCGATGTGGAGGTTTGTACAACGAACTCTTCAGGTATTTGTAGAGGTTGCTTTTTAGGTGTAAGGGGTTATAAGCAACTTCCACTTCCAAGTTGTTCAGGGCACTCTGCTCAGGAGAAAGAACTGAGTTGCTATGGGATGTGGCAAGTAGAGGCTGTGGGGTTTGTGTGTGGGGGGTTGTTGTTTTGAGCACTGGGAGGGGTGGTTTCCAGGGATGAGTGTTGCAGACACTCCATACCACCCTGCAGTGATAGGGGAGGGGATCTTTGGCTGTGCTGCTACCCACAAGGAGCACTCTTAGCTGTGTAGGAACAAGAGGCATCTGCCACCAGGTCTTAATGGATTTAAGCATTCCCTTACAAGATGCAGTCCTATCCTTCCCCATGCCCAGAATCAGCCAACAAGCTGGAGCACCCTTTCTGGGCACTGTCACCCTCAACTCTGCCTCGTAAGACTTCTTCCCACTCTCTGCAACAGACATACAACATTGCTCCAAAAGACAGGCATTAACTGTCCATGAAGAAAGCTGTAGGATATGTCCTCTGCTGGAAAGAAGTTTTGGAGTGCTCCATCATATTCCAGCTATCACTAGACATCTTCCCAGCCATTTCCTTCTCTATTTATCTGCTAAGGCTATAGCGAGAGCTCTGCCTTTCCTGGCAGCACCTGGAGCAGAGGTAGACCACTTGGCAGAACAGGAAATGCAGAAGCCTGAATCTACTGGAAGAAACAGAGGTACTCTATGTATTGATTTATCTATTGCCTAAAGCACCTCTCTCTGAAGTATGAGGAGATCTGTGTTCCCTGGCAATGAGGGAGATGGCTACAGCTTCAGCAGCAGCTGTAGGGCCTGTGCATAGGGCTGATCATTGCTCTGATCTCTGCCTGTACCGCTGGACCTTTGCACAGGGCTTAGAGCAGGGCTCCAGTGACTCCCCTGGGACCTGGGCACAGGGGTTAGAGCAGGGCTGCACTGACTCACCTCTATGGGGCCACGGATGTGCTCGGGGTGCTCAGCAAGGAGGGCTGGGAAGGCTGAAGGCAGCAGGAGCTCCCTGATGGCGACTGCTTTGACAAGTAGAGTGGCAGAGTCGGAAGGGACGATGACATAATAGGAATGCACCACAGTGTTCCAGTTTGGATTGGTGTTCTGAGGTTCGTGCCTGGCCAAAAGCATCCACTTCCTTTGCTAAATGGCAAAAGCCAAACCCGAAGTGAACAACAGGCAAGAGCCACTTTCTTCAGCGCTGTCAGCGTGGGCTGTAGTGCTCAGGAGCAGGCACACACTCACACATCAGAATAAGAACACTATTCTGCAATATGGTTGAGGACAGTATGGTATTTGTTTTTTAATTAAATGCAAGTCAATTCTTAAGAAAAACATCCAATTTTGCTTTATAACTTGTCAGTAATTGACAGTTCTCCACAGTCCAAGCCTTGGTTAATTTTTTTCACATATAGATACAGATCTAACTCCAACTCTGACATTTGCACTTCATATCCCCAAACACTGGATTTCTGATAGGCTCAAGGGTCTTCTCCAAGGTTTGATGTGCTGTAGCATCTTTCCGGTGGATGCCTTGGCTGGAAAGATTTACAAGCACAGCTCTGGCCCATAAGATGAGTTGCAGCTTCTGAAATATGTTTTCTGATGCAGGCTACAGATTTTATGGGGTTTGCACTAACTGTTCCTTTCTCTGGCAATCCCTCCCCATCACACTGCAATTTTCCCGCACTTACCAGAAGACTATGACATAAAGCATGGAAGCTGTGCTGGTTTGTTTCCAGTTCATCCCAGTCCAGCTGCCAGCAGCTCGTGGGCTTGATGATGAAGGGCAGGCCATACAGTACAGACTCACAGACACCTTCAGACTTCAGAGCCCTGCAAGCATATGGCTCCTGTTAGTGCTCTTCAGCTACTGACAGGCTGAGAATCATTTTAATAGCAGCTGCATAGTTAAAAAGTAACTTTCCCCCCCCCATAAATAAACCTCAGAAAAGACACTAGAGAGCATCACTTGTGCTATGCTCTGTGCTTACCAGCCACAAACTGCTGACAGGAAAGCGAGCACATCCTTAGGTGAAGTCACACAGCACTATGAGGCTTTGCTTGCTTTTTTACTACTAGTCCAACTAATTAGCTCAGACTCTGACATCCAATTAGTTGCTGTGGCCTCATTAGGTAGTGAGAGAACAGCAGAATTATTGCAATGCCTCTGATCTCCAGAACTTTACACTGGAGGGAAACAACCGTTGCAGAAATAACACCTATGGTGTTACACTCATCAATGCCAGTGCCACAGTACCACCACTTGTGGCTGTGCTCCTGTCTGTGAGTGGGCTGTGCTGTTCCATGGCACGAAGAGTTACAGGGCCGGGGCTATCTCACATCACAGTTTTGCTGACCAGAACTTTGAGTCCCCCAGTGCTTTATGATGATGTTCCCAGGTCCCAGGTTGACACTGCACAGGAAGAGTGAAGCTGCTGTTCCACCATCTCCCGGGTAGCGAGCGTGAGGCACGGAGCAACACTTACTTTACCACCCGGAGTTTGTGCAGCCCTGTGGCTGGCCAGGCTGCCACGTGCCAGGGAGAACTGGGATCTGCTGCTCTCCCAGTGCCGTCAGCCGGCCCCGAAAGCAGAGCTGGGTCGAGCAGTCTCTCCTGCAAGTCGCACTTCAGGCACACTGGAGAAGGAGACTGGTTTAGGTCGCTGGAAGTGTTTAGCACGTGAGACGTTCAAAGCACTTACAAAGTTAATGTTTTCTAGCAACTATTGAGGGAAGAAAACTAAAACCTGACACGAGGCTACAACCTGTCCCCGTTTTACACACATGGGGAAACAGCACATACTTGGTGTGTTAATGAAACGATGATTGGTCAGTAACTGGGCAGGCAAGCTCCAGCTTGGGCAATGAGTGGCCAGCTGGAGAGGGAGAAGCAGCTTGTTTCCCAGAGCCACACTGGGTTCAGGGCTACATGTTGCCTACAGCTTTTCTATCTGTGTCTGTGCAGAAACACAGGACACTGATGTCACTAACACTGGTGTAAAATGACACAGAGCTCCAAACAATCTCTCTGGCCTTCCACAGATTCCCTGAGTGTGGGAAGGTGAAAAAACCTGACTGCAGTGTAACTTGGCTTGCCTTGCTAGCTGTAATAAGACAATGCATCAAGTAAGAAATCCGATGTTAGGATGAAGGAAAATCAATATCATAACTGCCTGTGCTGGAGGCTGATATGGAGCTACTACACACACAAAAGTGCCCACCAGGCATTCTCATCTGCTTGCTGTGGAGCACATCAGTAATTCTCTATGAGCTTTGGTTCCAGTCTGGAACTGGCCTGTGGATCACCAGAAGACAAGTGTGCTCCCATTGTGACAGCAATGGGCATATGCACAGGAGCACCACATTGGAGAGGTGTGGAAAGGGGATTGCAGGGACTTCCCATGGCACTGCAGGAGTGACAGTACAGTCAGCAACTGGTAGAACACACCTATGTCTGCTGCAGCTGTTGGTGTTTTCAGCATTCACCCAAAGACGGATTAGGGATTTGGATTTAGACCAATAAAGGGAAAAAAAGAGACATATTCCTTACAAATTTTCCCATACATTATGATAACTGTTGGCAGCTCCAGCTAGAACATGAGCTATTTTAGCGTTAAATCACTAGATATAAATAAAAGCCAAGTCCTTTTGTAAGACAGCCTTTACTTAAGTGCAGCTCTGGCACAGACTTTTAATATTGAACAGAAGGAACGCATTTTTTAGGGCTATTCAACTCCCAGGACGTAAAAGGCCCCTTTTCCCTTGACTACATGGCTATAAATTCACATGCTCCTCCAGGCACATTTTGCTGCAGAATGGAAATTAATTGTAGCCTCAGCAGCCACGGGACATGGCAGCAAACAAGCAGCTCTCTGAGCAATAGGCTCCTATCGGCCTGAGACAACTCCCAGCTTTCCCAGTCACCCAGAGACCGCCCTTGGAGGGACCTCACTCTCTAAATGGGAGGAAACATGCCCGTGGGAAGGAATGTGCCCATGGGACAAGCCTGGATGACCTTTAAGGCTGTGGAATTCAGGAGCTCCCTGCAGAGGGGGAGAGAAAATTAAATACTTATGGTGCTCTTGGGTGCAGCAGCATGGCTGAAACCTCCCAGTGGAAGGAGGAGATGGAGCTGTTCCCTCTCCGTGCCATAGTCATGGAGCCATGTTTTAAACAGCATCTCCAAGCTGATGACATTGTCCTCTACGGTTTGCACATCAATGTCCATTCCCAGGATTGCAATATCTGCGGGGGAAAAAGGTGTAAAAGCACAAATATTTTCAGCCATAGAAAAGAACATTCTTTTGCATTTTCCACTGCATTACACCTCCTTAATACCTTGAGTGCTGTCACAAAAAAAGTGCTTCAGAAGCCATTACCATGCAAATCCCAACGCAGCACTGTGACTCCAGGGACACTGCTGGGAGCTGACCTGCTCCACAGGCCACCCCACCACCCTTTCCATCCCTGGGGTGCTGGGACTGTCTACGGCCGTCTCCAGAGAACAAGTTGTGACTGATGTGAACCATCACAGTTCACATCGCTGGCCTCAGAGACTCCTCAGTTTTAAAGCATTTCCTCCTTTTCCCTTAGCAAGGGGCACCAACAGTCCCTTGCCCTGATGCTTTGAGCCTTGCTCCCACTTCCCTGCACTGATGCAGCTGGAGAGCAGGCTGGTCGTGTTCTGGTGGTGTTGTGTTCCCTACAGATTTTAGATCTGAGCAAAATGGTAAACAATCTGCAGAGCCCATCCAGAAAAAGGTTCCCTGAGACTTGCAGAAGAATTTTTATGTTCATAAAAAATGTATTAGTGCTTTATCTTCAGTGCTTGTTTGTTGTTTCCCCCAAACAGAACTAGCTGGGACCAGTATCTCCAACCCATGGAAATACTGACCTTTGTCAGCAAAAGGTCTGGCAATGCTCAGCTGCTTTCAGCGAGTGTAATGGGGCTGGGGCGAAAGAAAGAGAATAATAATGCTCAAGTTATCAGTTAGAGGCCAGTCCATCCAAAGGCCAGGCATCCTGTCAGGTACTCCCACAGACCGTTCCCACCACAAATGCTGTGTGCATTGCTCTCTGGGGGGTTTAGATATATCACATCTCTGCTCCCTCTGCAGTCTGGCAAGCACTAATGCTTTATAATTAAAGCAACGTTGCAGATTTAGCCTCTGTCCCACAGAGGAGCTGCTCTGCAGTTTGAAAAAGCAATCCTTGTCCCTCATCAGGTGGTCTGTGTTTGTCTGGAAATGCACCTCCCAGGGAGTTCCTCTCGTGAAGAAAACAGCCCGTGTTTCTTACCCAGACTGTTCTGAGCATGTTCAAAGCTATTCGAAGATTTGCCAGCTGTGGGGGTTCAAAATATTGGAGTCTTTTCTAACTGCACTAACCTGGGAATGAGCCTATGGAGGGGATATCCTGATCCTGCTCTGGATATTAAAAATGTAAGTAGGTTCAAACAGCTGTGAAACAGACTAATGGAAGAAATACCCTCAGTGGGATGAACCTCCTGGTGCTACATCGAAATGTTTATTCCATAGTTCAACACAGCACTAATCTTGCACTTCCTGCATGCTGGATCTTGCAACTTCAATGTTCTTTACTGTATTTTTTGTAACCCCCTTTTTTGCTGTGGTTTTGGCAAATTAAATTAATTCTAAGGTCAGAGTGGCAGAACCTTGATTCCTTCTCCTCAGGACTCCCTTTTCCCACTTAGTGGTAGCAGTGCCCTGCTTTTCTCCAGCCAAGCAGTTTTATATGCAGAGACTCTCCCAGAGTCCAGAATAACCAGCCATGTCTCGCTGAGGGAAAGGAAGCTTTTAATTGGCAGTGAGAGCGTTGATGTCTCTCTAAGTGCTGGATTATAGGACTCAGTGTTTGGTTTGGTCTGCCAGCAGCTCAGTGGGATGCAGGGGCAGCACAGAGAGCCATCGTCATCTGTAGCAGACACCCCAGTCAGTGCTGTGCTGCACATGGGGGAAAACCAGTCTCAACTCCTGCTATGTAGCATTTTATTGTTTTACCAGCCTTGAGAAAGGGCTGAAATCACCAAGGAGATCTGCAAGCTAGGAAAAACAAAATGCAGGTATGAAAGTTGCAGTTATAGCAACATTGCAATGTATGGAGCTGGAACTGGATTTTGGATCACCATCTCGCTGGTTTATTTAGAGTCTGCTCAGCACCTTTTGCTCTGAAGCAAAAATAGTCCAAACAGGACCTAATAGGACTTTCAATCTCTGAATTTCTCATTGTTTAAATTCCCGCTGCTGAAAACTGTCAAATTAAGGGAGGAGTTCTTCAGAGATATGGCCAGGAAAAATCCGGGGTCTGGAGCGTACTTGCTCACTCTTTCACTAATGAAGCATGTGGCCAGGGGTGTGAGGGACAGGGCAAAAGGGAACCTGCAACCCACCTAACCATTCCCAGTCCCTACAATGACAATTGACCAGAAATTTGCTACTGTAACCAGAAAAGACAAACAGCTAGAGACAAGTAAGGCAACAACATCCAACACTGCCTGTCACTCAGTAAAAACAATACTGACATTGCTAGGAACAGGTCTTACACTAACTCTGGAAGGCATTTGGACTCAGTTTTTTAAGCTCATTATCAACTCATTGTGAGAACTTGCTGTGTGACCCAGGCATGGAACCAGGTGTGTCTTGTTCATGGGGAATTTAAGTGTCTGCAGGAAAGACCTTTAAAAGGAGACCTGTTGTGGGAAGCAGAGGCTTGTAGAGAACTCGCTGCTGTGCAACTACTGGTTGCTGAAGAAATACAACCTTAATTGCTCAAGAAAAACTGCCCTAAGCATGGAGAAGAGAAGCAGCAGGTAAGCAAGGACATTGTTAGTGACAAAAAATCAGCTAATCAAGAGGCTGAGTACCTGACTTGGTCAATGAAAGTAACTCTTCCCAGAACTGTGCAATATGTAGTCCAGGAGAAAGGACTAAAGGGGACCCTTGGAATTGCAAATGGCCTGCCTGTCTCTCCTGCCTCTCCTTTCCCCACTACCTGCTTCGAGGACTCAGGTTGCCTCTGACTGCACCGAGGATCTTTTGATCAGGCAGTCAAGTGCCCAGTGTGATGTTCAGCAGCAGAAGGGGGGTGTGTGAGTCAGTGTGTTATCCCCATAAACTCAGTGCATTTTTCTCTTTAATCCCTCAGTGCAACTGTATTGTACACGATGTAAATTTTAAGTAATACTTAGAGCTGAATTAATGCATGAATTTTTGCCCAAATGTGCTAAAGCTCCAGAGAAGTGCTGTGGTACAAACTTCCCACTGTTCCTCCAGGCACAGCAGTTCTCACTTACCTAAGTGACATTAAATGGCACAAAGGTAAGTGACAGATATCAGACCAAAGCAAGAACTATTGGCTGTCCTGCTGCCCAAACTTCCCTGAGCACCTTGTTTGCCTTACACTCACCACTGCTGCTGGGCTCTTCTGCTGGCACACACTGCTCCACATCCTCGGGCTCCAGGAAGTCTCTCTTCAAAACCTCAATGACTTGTAGTCTTCGCAGACTCACAAGGTCTACATCTTTTAACTTCTTTTCCAGCTGTTTTACCATTTCTTTGCTGGACTGGCTAGTCAGAACTGTGATCTGAAACACAAACCAGAGTGTGCAAGAGCTGCCTCTGCCCTAATCCTCACTAAAAATATCTCATCCATTCAAAAGCAGATTTGAAAGCATTTTTTTTTGAACTTTGGCTTACATTTAAGCCAATATGAAATGCATTGAGAAGGTCACTGGAGGAACATCTACAGGTTTTGTGCCACTGCTGGAAGATGGAACAATTTACAGGTGTCTTGTGCTTTGCACGTACAGTCAGTGAGTCTGTGTGTGTAAGGAGGGACTTGCCTTGACACCACTTCCTCCCATTACTCTGTCACTTATAGCTCAAATAGACTAAATCCAGCCTTCTCACTTGAAAGCTGAATGGGAATTTTATATTTGTTAAAGAAGTGTACAGTCTGTCCTAAAGATATTTCTTAAGAGAGCAACAGTAGGTGTGATACCCACTGCCCAGTTTTGGTGTAATACTAAGTAACTGCAAAGAGTTTTTAGAAGAGTTTCTAGAAATCTGTCAGGCATGTTTAACACCAGCGTTCTGGGTGAGGACTCTCTTCTGTGTGCCTGTGTATCTGAGGGTCTCAGTGCAGCAGCTGGAGCACAGCTCAGGTGGGAGGTCTGTGTGTGATTGCCAGTGAAGGTCAGAACAGAGCAGACGGTGAGGGGGTGACATGGCCTGGGAACCAAGGGGGTTCCAAGGGTGAGAACGTGGGAGGAGCTGGCTGGTGGAGGGATGACGAGAGTCCTGGCCAGGTCTGAGTGTGTCTGTGTGTAAACATGACAGTTTGTACCAGTAACTGGAGCCTTGGGGACTCATATGTCCAGATGCCAGAAACTAGGGAGACTGGGATCTAGGAGCAGGTACTGGGTAGACTGAGTGTCTGAGACCAGCTGCTGGAGTGATCCACGTTGTAGGGATGGAGATAGAGATGTGTGTACACACACATTTATTTATGCACACGTATATTCCTGCAGGTGGATCTCCTCCTGCTCAGACAGAGAGGGGGGCAGGCTGAGGCCACCGGTGCACTTTTGTGCGTGTGAATGCTCTGAGTGTCTGTGATCTGTGTGAACACATATGCCTGTACATATGTGTTACATGTGTGTTCTGTGTTCATTTGCCTGATGGGAATATGAGCTCAGCCTCGCAATTGGTTGGGCCTAGGGGCATGGAGCTGTGTCAGCCTTGTTGATACCAGATCAAGCCTAATTTCCCTAACAAAGTAAACCTCTCCAACCAAACTTCTCCCTAGTGTTTGCCTCTGAGTTACTGGGAATAAAGATATTATCATGGTCACCTTTTAGGAACTAATGCAAATGGCTTGCAGGAACTGTTCTTAAGCTGGGGGTAGCTGAACTGTCTAAAAGATATAATTATCTTTTGCAGAGCTATAGAAAGAGCATTTACTACACTGATGGACATTTATTTCATCAAAACCATGGCTGTATTACATCTGTAGCATGTCACCTCCAATTTACCCTTTTCACAGCCCGAGTCAGACTGGCACATGCTGGTCAGAGACCAGGAGAAATATTTTACCACATACAAAAGCTGAGGTAGCTACTGTGACTTCCTTTTGTTTTACCACAGTTTCTAGATATAATCCCTTAATGCCATTATACTTTCTAATCTCACAAAAAACAGGCTACTGGTGACTTGAAAAATGCTTTTCATCCTATTGCAGGTTGGCCACATTTCCTGCCCTGTAACTGCTACTGAGATTCAGTTTTGTTGATGCTGATGATTTTTCCCCGCCGAAGTCAGGATCTCAAAAGAGTAAGTCATTCTTTCTACTTTTAACTACTATTGGGTTTTAAATGACTGCAGATTGTAACAAAGTCTGCCTCCTATGCTTACTGGTCAGCTAGGAATATTCTTGCATCTTTGTGTTTTATCTGTTATGAAAATGCCCATTTGCCTAAACAGCTGATTTGCACGAGCAGATTGCCAGTGGCACCCCTGTGCTCTGAACAGCGGCCCTCGTGGTCTCACACTGCAGCAATAGAGGTTCATGCCTGCACGGGCACTCATGTTCCTGCTACTCACACACAGGCACCTGCAGCTTCTGGGGCTGTTTCTTCACCCCCCTGCTGTGGGCCTGTCCCTGTGATTCCTGCCTGGGCCTGGCTGTCCCAGGGAGCTCTGCAATGCTGCTCCCTGGAGTGCAGCTCAGGAGTCTCTTTTACGTGGAGGAAAGCACGTGGAAAGCCTTTTGGTTTAACTTGTTTTACTTTAGAAGTGTAACAAAAAAAGCAAAAGCCAAAGAGTGCCTCTTTCAGCAGAGAAGGCTTCAAAAACAGAAACGGTGACTTGTGGGAGATGCCAAGGACTCAGGCACCACATATAATCTGCCTCATACAGTTGAATTTAACAGGGTAAATGCTTACTTTAACTGGCCTATGTTATCCAGGCTTCACTTCCAAGCAGGAAGCATTAACCCCCCATATTTTCTATTTCTTCAAAAGATACTGTATCTGAGCAAAGCCACTCAAAGGTCCTCTGAGAAAAGGAAACAGAAATAAAAATTCAACTTACTCTGCATAAAAAATTGCTTGTGATGAAAAAAAAAATGCAATCACTTAAGAATCTGAAGCAGAAAGCTGCCTTTTTTAGAAACATGGCCTTCTGCCTGTCTGTGATCACAGCCTGTCACTGCAGCATGTCTTACATCCCCTTGCAAAGAGAAGTACAAAATACTTGCATCATCTAGAGGAACAAGGATTGCTTAGTGGAGTATAAACTCCCTATACTCATGGATAGCTTAATTTTTAATGTAGCTTGTTCCTTCTACTATACTAGAAGTCATCCTGGACTTCGTTGTGTGTCAAAAAAGGTCTTGTCTCCAGTGTGTACTCAGTCTGTTCCAACCCCCAGCTTTACAAAAGCACAAATCCCATTTGAAATGGCAGGAAAGATACCTCAAGGCCCTAAGAAAACACAGAAAAGCAGAAAATCAGCAGAAAGACTTCCTGGATAGACAAGTGAGTCCCAATTACAGCTAGGAGAGTCTGCCTGATCACAGCATGACTCTGTGTGACACCAGAAGGGTTTAAGGATCTAAACAAAATAAAAGGACTCCTGAAATTTCACTCATGGGACTCTCAATTTGTTTTTATGACTGATAAAGCTCCAAAGCCAGGTGGACCCTGAGCTGGTGAAGTCTGAAACAAAAGATTGTTTGGAGCTGATATTTGCTGACGTCCAGAGGAAAACACCATTTCTTTGAGTCCTTCCCCCTCTAACTCCCTGTTCTTTCACATCAGTTGGTACTGCTTAAAGCTCCACTTCCTCGTGAACCTTGCTCTGTTTTCTACCTTCATATATCTGTTCTCAAGTGTTATTAGCAACTTCCCTCCTTCTTATGCAAGCACACGCACCCAGCTGAGAACACAGCCACCAAACTCTCTTAGATCCTGTCCCAGGACATCCAGTTGATAGGACTGCTGTACATATAGTTTTCCCTAGATAATGTCCCCTTTTCCACAGGAATCTGTCCAGAGGGATTCAAGGACTTGGTATCTCCATCCAGGATTTCTGGACAGTGGATCTCTGAAACAGCCAGACTGCTGAATACCTAAAATGTTCTGGCATGTTCACTGTACATGAGATTATACATTTATAAAGCATGATTGGTGAAATGAGATGGCTTCCACTACCTTTGCAACATTTTCTTACCTCAACAGAACTGTTTGTTGAGCCTCCTGCTGCTGTGTGTCTGCTGTATTGTTTGAATTGCTGCAATCCATCCTGCACAGCTTGTACCACTCCACTTCCCCCCTGTGGGAAAGAGCCTTCTGCTGGGAGCAAACGCAGCTCCGAAATGCAGGCTTGAATTCGCGCAAAGTTTTCTTTCACTTGCTGCAAAACAGCGTTCAATGAACACGAGAGACTGTTAAACAAATAACATGAAATAGCTTTCCATAATGTGGAAGGTTTTTTGAATTCACAGCACTGAGCTCAGACTGGGGGCAGGAGCCAAGTATGAACCAGGCTGGCCAGGATTGTTGCAGACCTCTCTGTCTCCATGCAGTATTAGTTCAGGCCATCTGGTATCTCTTACCCACCCGTGACCTTTCCTTAGCACAGACATGACAATGCCAGGGAGCACCATCAGCTGGAGGTGCTCTGCTCACAGTCCTTATTCAGTCCCACATTAAAAGCCTTTGATGCTTTAATGCTCACCTCCTATCTTGTCACCATTTGCTGTCCTCCACAGTTATCTAGGTACTTTCTGGTTTTCTTTTCTTTGCCCCCCTGCCCTTTCCAGGGAAGCTCCTTGGACTTGTCAGACCCTTTTGGGGAGACCATAAACAAGCACCCAGGAAAGAGTAAGACAAAGGTTACCATATATGACACTTCCCCATGTATTCTCCCAGTCTTTATTTTCAGCTCTGGGGCTTTTCTGACTTCACATGATTTGTCTAACAAGCACCCTTTAATACAGCTCTACCTTGGTTCCTCACTGAGAAGTGTCAAGTCTCTCTAGCTGAACCAGAAAGACACTGTGCTCACAGCCTGCCCTGTTGAGACATGGGCAAATTCAGGGGGGCAGGAGAAGTAATGGAGCCCTGGTATTTCTGAGGAAGGCTGAAATGGAACACATACTCACCAGGCAGAGTCGTAAAAGTGTTCCTGACTCCAGACGCAGCAGAGGACCAGATACCATTATTAGTGAAATTAGGTCCACCGAGTCATAGAAACATACAGAATGTCCTGAATTGGAAGGGACCCCCAAGGATCATCCAGTCCAACTCCTGGCCCTGCACAGACACCCCAACAATCCCACCCTGTCCCTCAGAGCGTGGTCCAAACACTCCTGGAGCTCTGGCAGCCTTGAGGCCGTGACCACTGCCCTGGGGAGCCTGTTCAGTGCCCAACCACCCTCTGGGAGAAGAACCTTTTCCCAAGATCCAACCTAAACCTCCCCTGACAAAGGTACAGCTGCCTCCTTGGGTCCTGCAACTGGTCACAGAGAGAAGAGATAGGTACTGCCCTTCATGAGGAAGCTGCAGACCCCCATGAGTTCTGCCCTCAGTCTCCTCCAGCTGAACAAACTAAGCGACCTCAGCCACTCATAGTCTGAAGAAGACAGTCACCTTGAAACACTTTACTGTTCCTAAAAGTGAAAGAACAGCTCTGAAAAACAGCTTCAGTACAACATCAGATATCTAAAATAAAGAGATGGCTCCCAGAGCAGAACACCTAAAGAAAGCTGGGGAGAAGGGGAGTGGGGGCTCACAGTCTGGATGCACACGACTGACTCAAGTCTTTGTGTGAGCTATGCTGTCTTGAACACGTCCAAGATAAATGCAGTATTATGGCAAAAGAGCTGATGTGATGACCAGTCATGCAAACAAGAGGGGTATTTTTAATTCTCTATACAGCATTGCTGAGTCCAGTATTGGAATCAAAAAAACAGCAGAGTGAATACACGGAAGGGCTTGGAAGTTATTAAGGGGTTGTAAAAATGCCTTGCAGTTAGACTTATAATGTGTTCTCTTTGATTTACCAGCTAGAAGACTGAGAAAGGACTTGCTTCTATTTAGAGGAAGAAAGGATAAAATACAAGCAGGTTCTTCAATCTAGCCAAAAGAGTAAATATATTAACAAATCCCTGGAAGCTAAAGCAAATAAATTCAAATTAGAAACCAGGGGCAAGTTTCACAATGACAGTGATTAACCACTGGAAGAAATCATCAAGAGAAGTACTTGATTATCCACCCTGTAGTATCTTCAGACCCAAGCTAGATGGCTTTCTGGAAGAAGTGCTTTAACGATATATGGGTACTTTGGTGAAATATAATAGCCTGTAATATGAAGAAAGCCAAACAATGATCTAAAGGTTCCCGTCTTTAAAAACTGTGACTATCAAAATGAGGAACTGTTGTTTAAATTACAAAGACATCTGATCATGAGCAGCAGAGTCATAATACTCATAAGTAGAGGGACTGTGTCAAAGGTCAGACATCCTCTGGTGAGCCACAATTACCAGATTAGATCGGAGGCAGCTGTCAGCCAGCACATGCTGGACCAGTGTCAGGACATACCCAGTAAACATAAAAGTGGGTATTTGGCCCCAAACACTCACAAACTAACTTGGACATAATGCAGACTCACAGAGAGCACGCCTGGAACCAGCTGTGAAACAGATCCCCGAGATCATCCTGCAGTGACATGTGACAGGTCAGGATGAATTACCAGTAAATTCATCCTAGGAAGCAAGACAAGTGTTTGCTCTTAAAGTGCCTAATCAGAGTGATTCCACAGTATCTTCAGAAAATGTTTCTTTGGTATTCCCTTAGTCATCCATGTCCCACTATCTAGAGCCTGTCCTATAAAATAAAGCAAGTGGCTGCGTGGTACTTGGCTGCTGGCTGAGGTTAAACCACGACACATCATTAGCCACATTCTTCTTGCAGATCACATTTGGTAAATTACTGTTATCTCCGATTTTTTATTTTTCCCAGTTGGTCTCCACCTTTCCTGAGATGTGAAAACTTGACAAAACCTTTCAGGATGTTTTCACCATTGCTGTATAAAGTGGAAGGGTTAGTTCTGTGTGTTTACATTAATGTTGTGTAAATGAGATTGCTCAGTGTGACTGTTTCTAACACTATGACTTCATAGATTCTTGTGCACTTTATGATGCTGCTTGCCATTCTCCATCTACACTTATTCCACTGCATAGCCCCAGATGAGTGCAGTGCTTGTTCTTATTGACTTAGATCTATATATTTAAAAGCTGTGTAGATGTGGTGCTTAGGTACATGGTTTAGTGGTGGAGTTGGCAGTGCTGGGTTTAGGATTGGACTTGATGATCTTAGAGGTCTTTTCCAACCAAAATGATTCTGTAATTATATGATTTCAGGATATTTCTCAAATTTGGCAATAATATTTTAACTCTGCACTTCTTCTTTTAAATATCTGGAATCTCTCCCACAGTGGTAATATTTTTTCACTGTCCAAATTATTACAGCTTGGGTTGTGTTTGATAATTTTGATAGAACAGCAGTACAGATAGTGCAGAAAGTAGCATATGAAAGGTACAACAGAAGTTTTAGACGAGGACAAAGCCTAATTTATGCATGTGAGCAGCTTCACAGATCAAAAATATTACACTTCTTTTAAACTTCACTTTTCATAAAATTCTGTGAAACTATGCTTTTTGAGAATGATTCATTTTTAGATCCATATTTGCAGTAAATCATAACTTTCTCTCCTGAGTGCCAACCATGTCTTGCACTCCCGTTTGCCAGATCCCCAGGGCCCAGTTTCCCCATACCGTGAAGGGCAGCAGACACTCCTGCTGGGGCTGCACCACGTAGAGGCTCAGCAGGGGCACACGGCAGGGCCCTGCCAAGCCACATGCCAGGCACAGCGTGTTTTCCAGAGCCTCGCAGAGCACAGAGCAAGTATTGGCCCAGGAAGGGGACGTGACGTCCACAACGAGAATCCGCGATGGCTGCTGGCAGTGGGCTTTAGGAGCAGGAAAAGTTCTCCGTGTTTCTGAGAGTAATTTTCTGGAATTCATGGCTTCTGAACACAGGTATTACATATCCAATTATCCATCTGCATCTGAATGGGAGAAATAAACAAAGAACAGCAACGAGTGAGGTCTCCCTTTCCCATTCAATTTAAAGCAACCTGAGGCACAGCAGACAGTAATGACTGAAGTTCCTACATCTTTCTCCAAAGCAATCGTTGTTCCTACTCTAGGATAAACCCACACAAGACAAGGGAAAATGCATGTGGTCAGAAAACAAAATGTTTCAACTAAAGACTCGTGGCAGATACTGTCTTACAGGTTCAGCTGGAGCAGCTACCAATGTTGGCAGCACACGTGAGCTGTGTGAGATGTCTCATGATCCCCTAGTGTGGCTCAGGTGCATCCATGGCCAGCACACAAGGGATCTTCAGCAGCTGATGGAAAGCAAGACTATGAAATCCTCCTCCTAATTCTGCAGTGGCCAACAGGTTCTACCCAAACACCAAGGAGAAACAGTCCCTGCTTCTTCATACCCAGCAGTATAAGACAAGTAGCTGCTATATCCAAAAAAGGACAGCACGATGCATCAAAAAAATATTGCATATACATAAATATTACTTTGTGGATGTGGACAACCAACTCTTGTCCTTCAGACTGTCTAACACCTGGCATAAGCTCTCTGCACTGACAAAAGCTTTGATGAACACAGCACTGCCTCATCTTGTTCAACAACGTGGGAGCACTGCAAACATTAAAGTACCTGCAATGTCAGAAACTCCAACAGAAATTACTTCCAGCCAAGTACCACCTTTGTTTCTCAGAGCTGGCTGGTGATGGGAATGCTGTGCAGGGAGGTGGCTGTGCTTCACCTGTCCCAGAGCTGTGCCAAGTGACACAGAGGTTTGTTAGAACACCTCAGGAATGCAGCCAGTGTCAGGTGACAGCTTGCACAAGGCAGGCAAGGAAAGATGAGGGCTCCCTGATTCCCCATCATCTTTGTGTGGGAAGAGAGGCAAGGCCTCTTGTTGCAAGGCCCTGGGAGAGCACGGATCCCTTCAGCACACGAACAGAGCATGTGGTCAGGACCCATTTCTCCCCCACCTCTTTTTGTCCGTTTCCTTTCATATCCACCCTTTCATCCATCAGCACCACTACATATCATCTCTGCATGCATAAGGCTCAGCTGGTGCTTTGAGAGACCTCCCCACAATCTTTCAGAAAATGTGACCGTTTCTGGGAAACAGTCCCAGAGAAGCAGAGAGGAGCAAACAGGAGTGTGCTGTCAGGTCTTCTGCCTCGTGTGTACAAAACAGAGGAAACCGCTCAGCCCCAAGCGAACACCTCGCAGTTTGTCTCAAAGATGTGGAGGCAAAGGATTGAGATGTGCTCATCCACAGACCTGGAATGTGATGTTTGTTCCCCTACCCATCTCCCTTCAATATATACATCTTAAGCACTAGAGCCAGCATTTTCCTGTTAATTTTTTTCCTTTGCGAACAAAGTGCCTTCATAAAATCTTCTCTTCACTAAATCTGCACAAAACACTCAAGTGCTCTTTGTAAGGATATTGAAAATGTTTCAAAAATGTGTCTTGGTCTTGGTAATAACAGTACTATGTAACCATGCAAGTCTACCTGTGTCCAGAAAAGTGTTTTTATAATTGCATATACCTTCTCAATAGGAACTAGAATAAACTCTTTCTTCCTACAGCTGTGTCAATTCCCAGCACAATTAGTAAGTTTGAAGCATCTTCTGTACTGGCTCTGGTCAGAACCCAGGCCAGTATACATGGCTGTCATTTGTGTGGTATGTTCAGCTCAGACAAACAGCTCTTTTATGTTCACCAAGGAGACAAGATACTGTATTTCCCACAGCCTCCAGCACTTTGGAGTAAGAGTTTCTGTAAGTCTTGAAAGGAGCAAGAAATGCTTTTCCATTTGGCTGAAGTATCATCAGAAAAAAGTCTGTATTTCTAGGATGCTTGTCAGTGAAGGCAAAACAGTGATCACAGCTTGAATTCCAAAACTGAGGCTAACACTTCGGAGCTGGTGAAAATGTTATACATCTAGATCATGGAGATACGTGTACATATCTTGCTTTGACTAGTCCTCTGATATAATTTCATTGTCAAATGAAAAACTGCCAGATACCACTTTAATTGGTGTCTCTTCTGGACCTTTACAATTTGCAGGAGAGCTTCCTAAATTACATCACTGAATCTGGGAAAATACTTGTCTGTCTGAATTTTTTTGCGATGAGGCTTCATACCACTGAGCTCTGCAAGCCCCCAGTGCTTTCTCAAACAAGGAAACAAAACCCACCCAGCAGTCAGAATCTACGAGAGTTGGGTCTTTGATTTGCATTGGGTTCAGAGAGAAAAACGAGCCTTGATGCTGAAGTAGACACTGTTTTCCTAAACTTGAATGAATTCTCTCACTCTTGACACTTTACAGGACTATGCTTATTTTAAAATGCATTTGTAAAATAGCTCTCTCATCAGCTATACTCTTTACCAGCTGAGTGAATTTCATTTCTTCATAATTGTTGTGTTTTAATTAATCTCTGCTTAGCAACATTAATATGATTTATATGCAGCTCTCCGTACAATATCTGACGTACAGTGTAAACTGCCCACCTCTGTTACAGCCTCCTGTCACGCTTGGCTCTGGGGAGGTTGGAGAGCTGAAGAATTTGTATACTGGTCTAACTGGTTGCTGTGGTAAAATGGCATCTCCATTTAAGCAGCAAGTGAACTGACAGAGGGTCCATCCTAAGGGATTACTCCACAATTCAGTGTGCAGGAGTGAAAACTGTTAGTTCTGGCAGCTGCTATGACATTAACTTCTTGCTCAATAAAAGAGAACTTACCAGCTGTCAGAGCTAACAGTGATGTACATTTTGCTCAATGCAAGAAGACACAAATTCTTCAGAACTAGAAAGACAGGGACAGAAAAAAAACTTTATCAGATTGTGTGCCTTGTGGTTGCTGAGGACATTCTGCACTTGCACATCATCCTGTGTGCTTAATTTGTTCCAGTTATACAAAACCATCAAATAATATCCAAGTCTAAGAAAATAACACCAAAGCCACTGCTTAAAGAGTATTAAGGATAGCTGTTTTAAAAATGTGCCATTTTCTGAGTAAGCTTCAAGACCCTGGGAAACATGAATATTCTCATGTGGAAAACAGATCAAGCTGCATAAATAAGTGGGTTTACTAGAGAATAAACCAGCAAGCCATTGAGAAGCCTGAGGCATGGAGTGGCTGTGCAGTGGTGATGGCCTCTGTTGTGCATCTTTTTGTCCACCTAGCCTAGAAAGGAAGGTATTTATTTTAAAAGGTGGGGATGAATAGAAGAATAAAAACAAAAAAAGCAACAGAGCACAAAATCAAGCTACTGAAAACAAAATTATTCAAGATCCTATATAACAGAAGATATTATGTGTTATTCTATACAGCAGTGCTATAACCAATCATAAATAAATGGCTTTAGGCTTGTGCTTTTATTGACATAAAATCACCAAATCTTCATGAGAGTAGTCACTTTATATTAGTGTTAAAATAACTCATTATAACCTTTATAGATTTTTTTTCCTTAAAAGAAGAGGAACTATAACATTAGGAGAGTTTAGAAAAAGGCATTTTCTAGTTCTGAAGAAGCAAGTAATGATGAAACCTTATCAAGCAGTGTGTGGACAGAGCAGCAGAGCAAGGACAAGCTGCCACATAATGCACATAGTGCCCGAGTGCTCCTGTTGAACAACAGCCAATTCATAAAACCCACCAGAAGTGCTCTGAGGAAAGCTGTGTTATCATGGGGGACTTGTGTTTGAGTGATGGGCTGGAATTCCCAGAATTAAATTTTATAGGTACTGTAATATCTTTTTGACGAGATTATACATACAGTTAATGAAGCCTCATGGGGCAGGCGCTCTGTCTTGCCTGGAATCTTGATTATGGAACTAGGATGACATGCTGTCAACACACACACTAACCTGATATAAACCTGCATAATTCATGAGCCCCAGCACATGCTGCACACAAGGAATCAACACGGAGGCTGCTTTAGTGGGCACATGGGAAATCCTGAGATATACCCACGTACTGGAGCAGACTCACGTCTCCAGGATGAAGGACCACCGCCTCCCTAAGGTCCTGCTTTATGCTGAACTTGCCACCGGCTGCCGCAAGAGAGGAGCCCCAAAGAGAAGATACAAGGACTCCCTGAAACAACATCTCAGCCTTGGCCATATTGATCACCACAACTGGTCTACTCTGGCCTCCAATCGGGAGGCCTGGAGACACACCATCTATAACGCAGCTGTCTCCTTTGAGAACACACGCAGGATCACCCTCGAGGAGAAAAGGCAACGCAGAAAGAACCGTGTTCTGCAGAATACACCATCTAAGGAGTCTTTCTGCTGTGCCTTTTGCAATCAGATATGTCTGTCTCGTATTGGCCTCATAAGTCACCAACGTGCCTGTAACAAATGTGGATAGAGCCTTCCCAAATCTTCGTTTGCGAAGCCCAGCCATGATATATGGAGCAGCCTGGAATCGTCCTCCAGTTCATGTGTTTCGATGGCTCCTCTAACAGAACAACTTCTATCCTGGATGTGACCTCTGAGTCTAAATTTTCTGAGTGTAACATTCTCACAGGTTTATATTCCCTGTACATTTTTTTAAAGCTTTAGATAGTAACACTCCCTCCCTTGTGAGCTCTGTGGCTGGATCCTCAGAGCAAGGAGGATACACCTCACAGCAGCCTGCTGCCCTTGTCTTCTGGCCCACAGGGAAACCTGCAAATCCCACCCAGAACATGAGGACCTGGCCATTGAGGTCTCTAAACTGGCCAGCCTCGAACATCACAAGCCAGCTCTGCTCCATGGCAGTGCTTGGGAAGGGCAGATCCCCCTGCTCCGCTTTGCCCACAGTCGGTGCCTGCTGGAGAGGGGCAGGTGGGGAACAGGGCGAGTCCCGGGCAGGTGGACAGGGCAGGTGAAGTGGGTGAAACACTGCCTGTGCCAGTCCTCCTTCAGAAACAAACCTGGAGTCCTTCAGGCAGGGCCCTGCTGCAGGGGATGGGCTGGGACAGCCATGCTTGGCTGTACAGAACTGGGACACTGTGCAGGGCTGTACAGGGCTGGGACACTGTGCTGGGCTGTACAGAACTGGGACACTGTGCAGGGCTGTACAGAACTGGGACACTGTGCTGGGCTGTACAGAACTGGGACACTGTGCTTGGCTGTACAGAACTGGGACACTGTGCAGGGCTGTACAGGGCTGGGACACTGTGCTGGGCTGTACAGAACTGGGACACTGTGCAGGGCTGTACAGGGCTGGGACACTGTGCTGGGCTGTACAGAACTGGGACACTGTGCAGGGCTGTACAGGGCTGGGACACTGTGCAGGGCTGTACAGGGCTGGGACACTGTGCTGGGCTGTACAGGGCTGGGACACTGTGCTGGGCTGTACAGAACTGGGACACTGTGCTGGGCTGTACAGGGCTGGGACACTGTGCTGGGCTGTACAGAACTGGGACACTGTGCAGGGCTGTACAGAACTGGGACACTGTGCAGGGCTGTACAGAACTGGGACACTGTGCTTGGCTGTACAGGGCTGGGACACTGTGCAGGGCTGTACAGGGCTGGGACAGTGTTGGGCTGTACAGAACTGGGACACTGTGCTTGGCTGTACAGGGCTGGGACAGTGTGTTGGGCTGTACAGAACTGGGACACTGTGCAGGGCTGTACAGGGCTGGGACACTGTGTTGGGCTGTACAGAACTGGGACACTGTGCAGGGCTGTACAGAACTGGGACACTGTGCTGGGCTGTACAGATGCCGGGACAGCCACGTGTTCATGAAGGTAGACAAGCTACAGAGGGGTGTCAGGGCACACCAGCAGCTTTGCTGGGGTCTTTCACATCCCATCTGTGTTTTCCAGGCATTATTTCTTGCTGCCATGGCATCTTTCTCTGTACTGGCCACTGTGTGAGCCACAGACCAGGGAGGTAATCACTAGGTTTGCTCCTTTAATGAGCTTCATGAAATTCTGGCAGGGGAGCACTGCTTTCATGCTGGTCACACCCCTGCCAGTGAGACCTGGGATGAAGAGGCCTCCCAGCCCGTACTCCCAGAGTTTCTGTGGAGCTGGGAGGATGCACCAAACGTCCTTATGTCTTTCCAGAGGGGTCCAGCTTTTCCCCCAGCCTGGAGCCTTGATTGAGCATTTAGGGACTGCAATGAAAGCAAAAGCAAGAATAAAAACCTCTGCCCCATCTCTGCTCTTTTGATTTGTTTTAAGGTGCACCTTCCACTCCTATGCTCTGTTCCTCACAGTCTGGATGCCTTAAACGCACCGAACAGGCAGGGAAAGTAAAGAGTAACTTAACTACTCAGGTTTTTCTTTTTTCTCTCCCAACTTCGAAATATCATCGACAAGATTTTACACAAGTGAATCTGGAAAAAAAAGATCCTTTTCCCTGCCGTGTATGTGGTTTGGAGTCGGGCCCGGGGTTTGGAGTCGGGCCCGGGGCGGTGCCCGGTCCCGCACCCGCCGTGGGCGCTCCCCGCTCCCGCATTTCTCCCGGGTGGTTCCCTTCAGTGCTGGGAATGCCGCGGCTCTGGGCACGGACCCACCTCGGGGCGCCGACTCCCGGTTCCCGATCCCGATCCCGATCCCGATCCCGATCCCGATCCCGATCCCGATCCCGATCCCGATCCCGTGCCGAGCGGGTCCCGGAGCTCCGCGGGCGGGACTCGGCTCCGCGCATGCGCAGGGCCGGCCCGCGCCGGCTCGTCCTTGGCGGGACCGGGCGGGCGGGAGCGGAGCCATTGCTGAGGAACCCGGGATCTGAGGCGAATCCAGGTACGCTAGTTCATGCTCCTGCTTGTAAATACAGAGTATTTTATTCTGGCTTTTAATGTTGTTGATACTTTTAAGAGATTCTTCAAGATTTGTTTGGAGTTCAGCGTAGCATGGAGCTCTTGATTTATTGTCTTCTTCTTCATACATGAATTTATCTGTTGTCTTTCATGTCATACCAGAGACTAAATACCTGTGGAACCATCAACATAGCTAGAGCTGTCATAATTCATGGTAAATGTTGGTAAAAGGTTTTCAAAAACCCTCTCAATCCTTGTACCAGCTATATCTTTAAACATGATAATTTCCGATGTTAAAAGAATCCCGTTAGATTTTTGGCGTGAGTAGCTGCTCTCCACAGGCATCCTTTGTGTTCGTATCCCCAGCTCAGCAAGCTTTGTGTGTGCACACACGTATGCCAGGCTTTGACTGGGATATTTTCCCTCACACCAGCCCAGTAGGATTAGTGTCTGTTGTGCTCCAGCTGCACCCATCTGCCCGGTGACCCCAACCATGCATATCTTTGGTATCTGCTTGCTTACTGAGTAACTTTTTGTACACTGTTTTCTTTCTGACTCTAGACAGTGATATTAGAATAAGCTTTCTAGCTTTTTATTTCTGTAGAAAAAGGCATGAGGTAGGAAAATAAGTCTCTCTTAAGAAAATACACTTTTTGAAAGACTAAAAGAAGTGGCACTGTGCGTGTAAGAAAAGGTAGGCCTGAGGCTTAGGATTCATCACTTTAAACTTCATTTTGATCTCATGTTTAGCTTTTGCTAAAAAGTAGAGCCAATAGCATTGGAAGAATTTTTAACAAAATTTAATTAAATTTATTTTTTTCAAATTGACTCTTGATAAGAATGGAAGAATCCCAGGGAACTGGGATATATGTGCAGTGACAAACCCATAGACGTAAAGAATTTTAAGATTTGGAGAGGGAAAAAAGTAATTTGTGGAAGTGATTTAATTTTATTTACAGAATTTAATCAAGATAACTCTAAGTAGTCAGGCTTTGACCCTTGGTGGATTCAGTTCCGTCTCAAATCTCTTGAGTAATGCTAGGTAATACTTCATCTATCTTCCTCCTTCCCACTGGTGAGGGGAATGAAATATATCAGTTTTAGGCACCTCATACTGTGTGAAGAGTGGATATGCATGTGGCAAGATGTGTATGAAGCTCTGTAATACACTGTTTTTATATGAATCCATGTAAAATTGTGGAACCATCTCACCTGTTTGTGGCAGTTGTCTTGCACTGAGTTTAGATCATCACTTCTTTGGGCCAGAACACAGCTCACTTTCAGAAAGATCCCGGGGGGTTCCCCAGCGTGGAAGTGGCCCTCGCTCCCCAGGCACTCAGGGAAGCTTGGGATCTTCACCGAGGGTTGTTCTTGTCTGGCCTCAATCCTATGATCTACTATTTACACCTTAAATTCATTGTGCAGTATGCAATTTTTGGATGCCCCTTTCCAGTAAAACCATAGGAGGCTTTAGAGTTGCAATTGTTTCCTTAAACAACTGTTGCCTTCCTAAACCTGGAGAAGTGGTTGTTTGTCTTCTCTTCCTGTATTCACGTAGTTTATTTGATAAAAAGTGAACTTGCAAAACTTCAGACTAGGGCTGAATATTTTTAAAAGATCAACATTTAAAAATAAATTTAACATGGATTTTTTAAATTTGTCCACTTACAGCCTAAGGGTAAGATTATTACTTCTGAATATTTTCCCTTCTCCTTCCAGACTGACATAATTGACCACAGTTTTGCAGTGGGACGGGTGCAGGACTTCGAGACTTTCAGGATGCCCTGAATCAAGAGACCTCCTGTGTCAGTAACCTGACTCGTTCTATGGGTTTAGCGTTGGATGAACTTTTCAGTTCATCGAAGGGAAAGGTCTTCCTTTTTTTATTACCTCTCCTAAAAGCCTGGAGAAGAGCAAGTTCCAGGAGAACATTTTTGATGTGCAGAAATGCCTGGTAGGAGGGTGTAAGGAAGGCGAGCGGCAGACTCTGTCCACTGGGGCGTGGGGAAAGCACAAGAGACAGCAGACACAAGGGGAGATATAGGACACTGTGTTTAAACAGAAGAGAAAAGAAAATGCTTTAATTTTACAGATTCTGCACTGCAACAGATGGTCCAGAGAAATTGTGGAATCTCCATCCTTGGAGATGCTTAAAACACTTTTGCTCAGGCAAAGTCATGAGTGACCCATTGTACCTAATCCTGCTTTTTGAGCAGGAGAGATTGGACTAGATGGTCTCCAGAGGTATTGTCCAACCCCCACCATTCTGTCCTTCTGGAAAGGGGCTTTGCACTGCCCTTTGGAACTGGAATCTGTTGATGACCCGTGTTGAGGATTTGCTGATTTGAACATACAATAAGCTTAGCAGCTTGTCACACTGAATAATTTAATATTGAACTGTGATTAATCACAAGATGAAAGCTAAGATAGGCTGGTAAGAGGCAGTGTTCTTTGCTGCAGCATTTCCCACCTGAGGTAATTTTCCTTGTTCTGAAAGTGTCAAGTACAGTTGGGCAATGTACTACGTAGGAAGAAGGGAAAGAATCTCAAAAACAAATAAATGAACAAAAAAACCCCTTTATATTTGCTTGTGCAAGAAGATTGTTCTTCCACTCAGCCAGGTTTTGAGAGGACAAATTAATTGTTTCTCTGACAAAACTATACATTGGAGGCTGTTAATGATCCCATAGTCTGTGCTAAAGGTTTTAGCTGATTGTGTTTGTCATCAGCTTTTACTAAAGAAAGAGCAAGCCTTCTTGGCTGTGTGGATATTACAGGAACGAAATGATTCCATTCATGTAGATAATGATAACAGAGCCAAAACAAAAATATTGCAAGTGTCCTATGTGGACCAATATACAGAATTTCAAAAGGGATTGTAGTGGTCCCATAGACAGAACTAACATACTTCCTGTTCCTTATTTGCTGATCAGGTCATATTTATCTGCCTGTCAGGACTGTTGGAGCACTGGATGGAGAGCAGGTCATATGGAGAGGATTAGGGAGTAAAAGGCAGCTTGTACTGAAGTGCAGGGAAAGTATAAATATTGATATATATTGGCACAGTGCCTGGCCTTAATGCTTAAAATCCTTTGGAGAGCTGTCTGCATATTTACTGTATTAATGATCAAATGCAAGGCTGTTTTGGGAAAGGTCTTCCATTTGGAAGTCAGTAGCTGAGACTGTCTTGCCTATGAAAAAGAGGGAGAATTTTCGTTAGAGGATGTAGGATTCTGGCTGGTAATAGTCTTAATTCAAGGTATTTTTAGAGAATTGATTTAATACAAGCAGAACAAATGGCCAGAAGTGTAATGAGAGACAAGTTGAAATTAGAAAGTAGATGTGCATTTTGAATGTATTGTCATAGCAACTGATTCAATTCTCCCTCTCTTGCTGTTCTGGGGACCTTTTAAATGTGCTTTGGCTAAATAAAAAGTATTAGACTATTTCAGAGCCAAAAGGTCAGTTCTTGTTGTCTCTTTTGCACTTTAATTCTAGTACACTGATACTTGCTAACCACTTATAACCCTAGATGCAGAATGAGAACTTGGGTTATTAACAATAAAGAAGTAAACAGCAGAAAGACTTGACCTTTCTTTTGAATTGCCCTACAGTGTTAAAAAATACCAAACAAACCTCCTTCCCCAAAGAAACACCCCCAAAATACCCCAAGAACTCACCAAACAGAAAATCACCGACAACCAAAAAGCAGAAGTAACAAACATGAACAGCAAGTGGAGGAAGAGTTTGAAAGCGGGCTGGACAGAAGCAGAAGTGTTACTGCCCACTCTTAGGCCACTGTGCTGATTAAATGGGTGTTGTTAGGTTTAGATCAGTAGTTCGTTGTTGTTGGGTTTTTCGGTGGTGTTGATTTTTTTGTTGTCGTTGTGGGGGATTGTTTGTTTGTTTGTTTTTATTTTTGTTTTTTTTTCTGTATTAAAAATCTGGCTCAGTTACTCTCTAGTTCTGGTGTGTTTTCTTTTCCAGGTGGTTGGTGTTTCTGCAGTGTTTGGCACAGGACTGGGGGAGATTTTTACCCAGCTTTCTAAAGCTGTAGATGAATAGGAGAGGTAAGGGGATAACTTCTGGTCTGTGACCCAGTGACCACTTCCTGAAGGTCCTGATTCATGAGTCTGCTCCTTTGATTTGAAGGAGTGCACAGCTGCCATAGCCAAGGTAGCTTAGGGTGTCCAGTATCAGCATAAAAAGCAGCAGTAAAAAGGAACTATTCAGAGATGAATTTTTGTGCTGTTCCATGAGAAAGTAAAAGCTATCTGTGCCAGCAAGTCTGTGAAGTAATTTTTTTCTTGTAATTCCATACCAAGTTTTGAATTGTTGCTGTTTTAATGAAGTATGTTCATTGATTTTGCATCCATTGGTTTCAGAATCCAAATCTGGGGAAAAAAGTACTGTCTTTCTGAAATGCCTCTCAAACATGAAAGCCTAGAGAAAACTTTTTTTTTGAGTAAAAAGGAGCCTCCAGGATGATCCTTATGCAATACAAATCATGTGTTTTTCAGACTGAATGCACTCCCTTTATTCACCTTTTCAGAGAGTATCGTCCAGAATACGAGCGCCTGAGAAAAACACTGGTAAGTGTTTTTAGCTGTTTTACATCTGAACAGTGTATCTGGGGTCACTTTTAGGCACACAATTGCCTTTATGTTGAGAGGGTCTAACATTTCATTTACTAGTCGTACTCACTGTGGGAAAACTGTCCTGAAGGAGTCCACCATTTGCCTTTTTTTTCCTAGATGTGGTGGAGCATATCTTTACAAAAATAAAGATTTTGTAAAACAGATGTTGCTCACTGGTTTAGTGCTAATATTTGAGCTAATTGTGTGAAAATGATTGGGAAATAAGATTGTGTCTTCCTTTCGGATGGATAGAGAGTTCTTAAAAATAAATTTCCAAAGGGATTTGTTGAGACTATCCCTGTATCTTCCTGCACCAGTGAAGAGCACTAGTTTGACTTAGTAAGAAAGACTGAATTGCAGTGCCAAAATCAGTAGCTCTGCTCACCTTGAGTTGTGGCTGTCCAAAGGACAGTTCTCTGCAGGCACAGCTACACAGAGTTTGGCTTCCCGGCGCTGCTGAAAACGTCCTAGAATCCCACCTGACTGGAGGTTGCTTTCCACGCTTAGTCAGAAGTTCTGTGAAACCTTAGTTGAAATGTAAGACCTGCATAGTGACTTCTGCTCTCCGACTGGGGGACAGGCTGCTGGGTTTGGGTGAGGTTTCTCTTCTCCTGATGTTTTAAATGTTCTCAGAATCCACAGGTAAGTCTTTGTCTACGGGAGAAAGCTCAAAATAAACAAAAGAGAGAGCAGCTGGAACACTTGTGGAAGGACATGGGCAGCGTGTGTGTGCAGGGCAGCACAGTGGCAGGTACCTCCCCAGGAAGATAAAGTTTACTGCAGAAGTTTTCTGAAGAGTTTGCCTTGTGAAGTAGTACAGTGCTTCTTTGTCCTCACAGCAGAAGTGTGAAAGCAGCTCCATGTTAGAGGAGCGGGGCTTTAGTTCCTGTGGGGTTGGTCACACTCAGCTCTTCCTGTGTCAGTCACAGGTTTGGAAGAAACCCTGCTGTGTAGCTAAAGCAGTGGACCTACTAGAAATAATGAAATACTTTAGAAAAGGTGAAACAGTCAGATCAGAATATGAGAAAGCTCTGCTGTTGGCTGCACTGTTCCTTAGATGAGGCGAGTAGGTGCTGATGGAGTCTGTCCTGTGTCTGGGATCCACAAGCAGCTTTCTGTCCCCTTAGAGCAGGTGTTCATTGCTGGGTTTCTGTGCAGATAGAAACCTTACCTTTAGCAAGCTGGTTGGTGTACAGCTGTTTCTGTTCCCTTCAAGGACCCGATGCTTCTGCAATGGGTCCCTCTGAGCTAATACTAACACGAGGAACTCTCGATGAAGAGCAAGAAGAGAGGGAGAGTGACGCTGATGGCATTGACCATGAAGGTAAGGGAATGAGGTCTAAAAGCTGCCTCTCAAGAAATCCCCTCTATATTTCATGTCCTGGATGGACTGTAAGGAGAGCCTAGAAAACAAGCAAACATTCAGTCACCTGACGTGTCAGAATGTGTAGCAGAAGCTCAGCAGGGATATCACTCTGTAACCTTTGTGAAAGTTCAATTGTAAATTTTCTATTCAAGTAATTAATAGGTGTATAACACACATAAAACAGAGAACTCGTTAGGCTTGGGGCATGCAGTGACCTCTGAACCTGATTGATGCACAGATGTGTCCATCATCTTTTTGGCCTTACAGTTTCTGCCCCTGGCTCTCTTCTCTTTTCCTGTGACTGTGGTCTTGGAGCAATCTTCTAAGTTGTTACAGTGTGATTTTTCTCTTCTATAGCTCACAGACTTAATCTTCATTCTTTCCCTGTTCCACTGATGGGTAGGATCACTTATTTCCTTTGCCCTGTAATGTAGCTGAAGATGGAATAGACTTTCTATGTTGCTTTGGCTATCCTGATTCTAGCTTTTTTTTGGAAACACAAGTAGAACAAGTACTGAAATAGCGCTGAACTTCAGCAGCAGCGGGGACTGCGCAGGAGAAGGAGGGTGGGCAGCGGGCCTGGGGCAGGCAGGGGGATGGGGGTGGGGGCGGGCACTTAAAAGATTTCGGCCAGGGAGCTGATCTCAGCCAGCACCCAGTCGGGGCAGTCTGAGTCCCCGTAGAAGCAGAACTGCTGCGTGGGGAGAGGCGGTCAGAGGCGCACTGCCGCTCTGCGTCCTCCCCGCTCCCCGCCGCCGACTCCCGGCCCACCACGTCGCCGCTGCTCCCCGGTCCCCCATGCCGCACAGTCCGCCTTCGCGATCCGGAACCGCCCCGTGTGCCGGTGGGGGGCTCCCCGAGGGGCTCTGCAGGGGCCTTGGGGCCGGGACCCCGGGGGTGCAGCCCGACCAAGGGGCGGGGCAGGGGACGGGGTCCCGGGAGCGGGACCCGGGACGGCCACGGACCCGCGGGAAGGGCCCC